GAAAAGAAAAAAAGAGCGCGCGGCGCACATAAGAATCGGACTACACCGCCTGGCAGAGCAACGAGAGAGAGAGTAAAACATAAAATACGAAACAGATAATACGCTTTATTTTCTAGCATTGCTTTATGTCCGTTTAGCGAGAGACCCGCAGCGGAGGGGTATTACGACATCCACAAAACCCGCCCGAGCGCCGACAGGGGAGCGAGGCCGGCCTCTTCAAAAACTCCGGAAACAGATACAGCGAATTTCCTTACCCGTACCGGCCCGATGATCCGATCAGGGAAACTCCCAGGCAGCAGACCGCCAATCAAGGGCGACACTTATTTTTATTTTTCTTCTTTATTATTATTATTTACTTTTTTTCTTTTTTCTTTTCAAGTCACCTCAACACATGGAAAATACACACCAGGACATTATCGATCAGGGGACTCCATGGAAAAAAGAAAAAAAAAAAAAGAAAAAAAAAATAGAGCCAGTTTTTGGTTTCTTTTCTTTTCCTGGTGAATGATTATTCGCGTTTTTTTGTTTTTTTTTTTTGTAACTTTCAAATAACCTGGGGCTGGAGGGGACAGCAGGGAAGGGACAGGCGGTGGCAGGGCCACCAGGAAAAGGACTTGCAGGCCACCGGTTCTGAAAAGCCATTCCTAACACAAACAGAGCCGAATTGAGGATCTCAGCCTGGCTTCGGGGCCTAGCCGAGTGAACCCTCTTTTTAAGTTTTGACTATTCTTATTTATTTTTTTTACGCTTTAGTTCTTTGGAGAGTCTCGCTCTGGCTCCCAGGGCTAGAGGTAGCGCCGGCTCCCTCGCCTCAACGGTAACCTCCAACTCCCTGGCCTCCGACGCGCCTCCTGTCCTCGGCCTCCTCCCGAGCTAGCTGGCACTAACAGTCATTGCGCCTGCGCGGACGCGTGGCGGTTCTCGCTTTTTCTATATAACGTTTTTTTATTTTGGCTAATTTCTTTCTATTTTGTTTAGTGGAGGACAGGTCTCTGCTCGTTGCTCAGGCCGGCCTCCCAAACCCCTGAACCATCGGCGACGATCCCTTGCTCCGAGCGTCGGCACATGCCCTCCTGGAGTACAGTGGGGGCTAGGGACCATAGCAGCGCATGTGCCCACATACCGCGGCGCTAATTTCTCTTTCTCTCAGTTCGTTTAGTTTGCGCAAGCTAAATTCTTTCTATTTTTTCTAAGTGAAACATGCGCCACCACGCCCGGCTCATTTTTTCTGTATATATTTTTGTATCTGTCCAGCTCATTTCTATTTTTTTGTAGTAGAGACGGGGTCTCTCGCTCTTGCCCAGGCTGGCCTCGAACCCCTGAGCCTTAAATCCTCCCTCCCCGGCCTCCCAAGGTGCTGCATCATCTCAGTGCTCGAAGAGAATTTCAATCTGCATTTGAAAGGGTTTATTTTTCCCCAAATTAGGCGACAACCCTTTGTCCCCAGCCCCCACCCAGCCCTGCCCCGCGATCCTTCCTACCAGCCTCCTCTTGGGTTTGATGAGAGGCCGGTTCTGCCCGTTCATCTTGTGGTAGAGGCCGCAGGCATTGCACAGATAGTGACCCGTGCCATCCCGTCGCCACAGCGGGGTGGCCGTGGCCCCGCAGTTGACGCACTCCCGGCCCTCTAGAAGGAGACGGAGAGAGAGGGAAAAAAAATGGGTAGAGTGGAGGCCCAGGAGTGGAGGCCGGGAGTGGAGGCCCGGAGTGGAGGCCCAGAGTGGAGGCCCGGAGTGGAGGCCCCGGGCATGGAGGCCAGGAGTGGAGGCCGTTGAAGTGACAATGTCACTTTGAGGTGCTGGAGACAGTCGCCTCTCCCAGGCTCCTGGCATTTGCGGGTGACATTGAGGCTGAGTCCCAGGGGCCTTAGGTCTCACCCCCTTCCCATCCTCCTGCCCTTAAATCCTGCAATGGAGGCCCGGAGTGGAGGCTGAGAGTGGAGGCCCGGGAGTGGAGGCCCGGGAGTGGAGGCCCAGGAGTGGAGGCCAGGAGTGGAGGCCGGGAGTGGAGGCCTGGGAGTGGAGGCCAGGAGTGGAGGCCAGGAGTGGAGGCCCGGGAGTGGAGGCCAGGAGTGGAGGCCCAGGAGTGGAGGCCGGGAGTGGAGGCCCAGGAGTGGAGGCCCAGGAGTGGAGGCCCAGGAGTGGAGGCCGGGAATGGAGGCCCAGGAGTGGAGGCTGGGAGTGGAGGCTGGGAGTGGAGGCCAGGAGAGGGCAGGGCCACTCGGATTCTCGGAGCGACAGAAAAAATAAAAATTAAAAAAAGGGCGTTGACAGCAAACTTTGCCACCGGCCTCGGCCTCAGTGGAGGCTGCAGCCTCCAGGCTGGACCAGTTGGAGGCTCGCTCCCTCCCTCCTGCCTCCCCTCCCCACCCCCAATGCTGAGTCTCTGTGTCCCTGTCCCCTCCTCGGTCCCTGCCAGCCGAGGGTCCCCTCCTTCCTTCCCTTCACCCAACTTCCCAAAAATAAAAATAAAATAAAACACTTTCCTTTCCGCTCTCCCCAAAATCTTCAATCCCCCCCCAGATCTCGAGAAGGATCCAAGTCTGTCGGGCTTTTAAAAAAAGAAAATAAAATAGAAAATAAAATATAAATAGGCCGGGCGCGGTGGCTCACGCCTGTCATCCCAGCACTCTGGGAGGCCGAGGAGGGAGGATCGCTCGAGGTCAGGGGTTCGAGGCCAGCCTGAGCAAGAGCGAGACCCCGTCTCTACTTAAAAAAAAAAATAGAAAGAAATTAGATAAACAACTAAAATATATATAGAAAAAATGAGCCGGGCGTGGTGGCTCACGCCTGTCGTCCCAGCTACTCGGGAGGGAGGCCGAGGCGGGAGGCTCGCTCGAGGTCAGGAGTTGGAGGCCAGCCTGAGCAAGAGCGAGACCCATCATACTAAAAAAAAAAAAAAAAATAGAAATGAGCTGGACAACTAAAATATATAGAAAAAAACAAGCGGGCGTGGTGGCGCATGCCTGTGTCCCAGCTACTTGGGAGGGAGGCGAGGCAGGAGGCTCACTGAGGCCAGGAGTTGGAGGCTGCTGTGGAGCGAGGCTACGCCACGGCACTCCACTCCGGCCCGGGGACAGAGCGAGACTCTGTCACAAAAAAAAAAATTTCCCCTCTCTCTCTCTCTCCCTGCTGGGTTCAAAACCGGTTTTCGGGGGGAAGGAGGCTAAGGGTGGAGGCTACCTGTGTCTGTCACCGCCTGTCCCCTCCCTTTCTAGCTCCCTGGGAGGCTGAGGTCAAAAGGACAAGAGCCACCACCAGACTCAGGGTGACAGGAACAGGTCGTAGGAATTTTTGCTAGGGGGCAAAAGCAACAAAAAAAAAATCTCCCAAGATCCCAGGAACTCGGAGAACCGGATTCCTTAAGGGAGGACCGATGGCCTCCAGGGTCCCCGAGGGACACACGGGAGACAGGTCACCCCCTAGAACACGTGTTCTACAACACATGCCTCCCCTCAAAAGGACGTTTCAGGGAAGAGGGAAAAAAAAAAAAAAGGAAAAAGAGGTTGAGGTTCTCACTCTGGCCTCCATCTGTCCGGCCTCCTCCTAGGAGTTGGGGGGACCTGGGGACAGGATCTGAGTTTTTTTTTTTTTTTTTTGGAAGCCACTTCAGAAAAGAAAGAAAGAAAAATAAAAAAAAAAACCAGCAGAAGTTAGACCCAGCACTCTGGGGAGGAGGCCGAGGCGGGAGGATCGCTAATGAGGTCAGGCGTTGGAGGCCAGCCTGAGCAAAGAGCGAGACCCCCCCTCCCCGTCTCTACTATAATTTAAAAATTTTAAAAAAATAGAAATAAATTAGATAAACAACTAAAAATATATAGAAAAAACGAGCCGGGCGTGGTGGCGCATGCCTGTCGTCCCAGCTACTCGGGAGGGAGGCTGAGGCAAGAGGATCGCCAATGAGGTCAGGCGTTGGAGGCCAGCCTGAGTGCAAGAGCGAGACCCCGTCTCTACTAAAAATAGAAAGAAATTAATTGGTCAACTAAAAATATATATACAAAAAACGAGCCAGGCGTGGTGGCGCATGCCTGTGGTCCCAGCTACTCGGGAGGGAGGCCGAGGCAGGAGGATCGGTTGAGGTTGGGAGTTCGAGAGCAGCCTGAGCAAGAGCGAGACCCGTCTCCACTAAAAAAACAGAAGGAAATTAAGCAAAAAACTAAAAATAGAAAAAAAAAATGAGCCGGGCGTGGTGGCGCATGCCTGTGGTCCCAGGTACTCGGGAGGGAGGCCGAGGCCGGAGGATCGCTGGAGCCCGGGGAGTCTGAGGTTGCCCCCCGTGATTCAATCGAGGCTGACGTCCCAGCTCATAAATAATAACAATAACAATGAAAATAAAAATAATAGCCAAACTCGCAGACACCCTCTGCACCCCCCTTCATTCTGTGGGGCCTCCAAAAATCTCTTTCTGGAGGCCGATTCTGCAGCCTCCAGTCCCAAATTTTCTCCCTCCCAAAAAAAAAAAAAAAAAATGACGCTGTGCGTCTCTTTTTTTTCTCCTCTCTCTCTTTCTGCAATTACAGCCTCCCTTTTTCCTCGACCTCCACCCCCCAAAAAAAAAAAAAAACTTGTCACCTCCCTGGTCCCCCCTCTATGTCGCCTGGGGTTTTTTTTTGTTGTTTTTGTTTTTTGTTGTTTTTGTTTTTGTTGTTTTTGTTTTTGTGTTTTTGTTTTTGTTGTTTTTGTTTTTGTTGTTTTTGTTGTTTTTGTTTTTGTTGTTTTTGTTTATTGTTTTTTTTTTTTCTTACCTGAGCAGGAGCGAGTCTTGCTGCGCTGTTTGGGCGTGAAACTGGAGGCCGGGCCTCCCAGGAAGCCTCCGGCCGCCGGGTGGTGGTGGAAGAGGCCGGCTCCGTAGTCGTGCCCGGAGGCAGTGGAGGCCGAGGCCGGCATGTAGGACGGGTAGGTGGCGATGGGGTGGTGGTGGGTGACGACGGGCTGGGGTCCCACCAGCCCCGCCACACCCCCGGGGCAGCGCAGCGGGCTCCCGGCCTCCAATTTGAGGCTGTCAGCGGAGGCGGCTTGGTACTTGGCGCCTCTGTCTTTGTCCTCCGCGGCGGCGGTGGAGGCCGAGGCTGAGGCCGGGGAGGCCGCCCCCGGGGTGGCGTGGGCGGCGGGGTCCGGCGACACTTCCTTGGGCGGCGTGGGCGGGAACCCGAACAGGTGGGAGCCGGTGGCGGAGGGAGGCAGGGAGGCCAGGGCGGCCTCCGCGGAGGCCGCCGCAGGGTACACCGACGACAGCGGGCCTCCCGGAGGCCCCGCGGTGGAGGCCGGAGGCTGCAGCGAGGTCTTGGAGAAGGGGTTCACGGCGGCGGCGGCCCAGGGGTTGTGAGGGTGATGATGATGATGGTGGTGGTGAGGATGATGAGGGTGGTGACCCGCCGCCGAGGTCAGCGCGGCCTTGCCCCGCTCCAGCCACGACAGCCCCGGGCTGTGCAGCAGGTGCGGACGGCACACCTGGCCTCCCGCCAGCCGGGCTGCGGACGGCAGAGGGGACAGCGACAAGGCGGGGGGGAGGGGGGATGGAGGGGTCACCAGAGACACCCCCAAAAAAAATAAAACAAAAAAATTTTAAAAAAAAATTTAAAAAATTAAAAAAAAAACTCACCCGCCCTGAAAGACACACAAAAAAACCACGCACACACCCGTCCCTCCCCCGAGATAAATGACACTGCGGGAGGGGTGGAAGCTTTGGACCCGCCCCCAAATCTTTCCAGCCCGTGCCTCAGTTTCCCCAAAACGCCCCCATAAGCCAGCTCACAGCCCGGGGAAAGTAAGGAAGGAAACAGCAACGGGAAGCGTGGCTTTCTTTCTTTCCCTCTCCCCAGAGCGAAGGCGACCCCGCGGTCCCAGTGGACCCCACCATCCTCAGTATGGGGTCTGGGACTCCCCCAGTCTGTCCAGCCCGTGCCTCGGTTTCCCCAGAACGCCCCCACAAGCCAGCTCACACCCCGGGGAAAGTAAGGAAGGAAACAGCAACGCGAAGCCTCGCTTTCTTTCTTTCCCTCCCCAAAGCAAAGACGATCCCGCGGTCCTACTGGACCCCAAGTCGCTCGCTATTGGGGGCGTTGGGGACAGCCTTGGATCCCCCTAAATCTGTCCAGCCCGTGCCTCAGTTTCCCCAAAACGCTCCCACAAGCCAGCTCACACCCTGGGAAAGTAAGGAAGGAACAGCAACGGGAAGCGTCGCTTTCTTTCTATCCGCCTCCCCAAAGCGAAGGCGACCCCGGGGTTACAGTGAACCCCATCATCCGCAGTATGGGGCCTGGGGGGACAGCCTCAGACCCCTAAATCTCTCCATTCCGTGCCTCAGTTTCCCCAAAACGCCCCCACAAGCCAGCTCACACCCCGGGGAAAGTAAGGAAGAAACAGCAACGGGAAGCGTCGCTTTCTTTCTTTCCCTCTCCCCAAAGCGAAGACGATCCCGCGGTCCCAGGGGACTCCAAGTCGCTCGCTATTGGGGGCATTGGGGACAGCCTTGGACCCCCCAATCTGTCCATCCCGTGCCTCAGTTTCCCCCAAACGCCCCACAAGACAGCTCACACCCCTGGAAAGTAAGGAAGGAACAGCAACGGGAACCGTGGCTTTCTTTCTTTCCCTCTCCCCAAAGCGAAGACGATCCCGGGGTCCCAGCGGACCCCAAGTCGCTCACTGCGGGGGTGGGACGTTGGGGACAGCCTCAGACACCCCCAATCTCTCCATGCCGTGCCTCAGTTTCCCCAAAACGCCCCCACAAGCCAGCTCACACCCTGGGGAAAGTAAGGAAGGAACAGCAACGGGAAGCGTCGCTTTCTTTCTTTCCCTCTCCCCAAAGCGAAGACGACCCCGCAGTGGGGTGGGGGGCGGGGGGGAACCCCAAGTTGCTCTCACTATATGGGGTCTGGGGAGACAGCCTCTGACCCCCCCAATCTCTCCATCTCGTGCCTCAGTTTCCCCAAAACGGCCCCACAAGCCAGCTCACACCCCGGGAAAAGTAAGGAAGGAACGGGAAGCGTTGCTTTCTTTCTTTCCCTCTCCCCAAAAGGGAAGACGACCCCGGGGTCCCAGCGGACCCCACCCTGCTCACCATGGGGTCTGGGAGTCCCCCAATTTGTCCAGCCCCGTGCCTCAGTTTCCCAGAAGCTCCCCACAAGCCAGCTCACACCCGGGGAAAGTAAGGAAGGAACAGCAACGGGAAGCGTCGCTTTCTTTCTTTCCCTCTCCCCACGAAGCGAACCGCGTCCCAGTGAACCCACCATCGTCAGTATGGGGTCTGGGGGGACAGCTCGGACCCTAAATCTCTCCTCCCGTGCCTCCGTTTCCCCAAACGCCCCACAAGCCAGCTCACACCCGGGGAAAGTAAGGAAGAACAGCAACGGGAAGCGTTGCTTTCTTTCTTTCCTTCCTGTCCCCAAAGCGAGAACCCCACGCATCGTCCAGTTATGGGGTCTGGGGGGGACGAGCCTCTGACACCCTAAATCCTCTCATTCCCCGTGCCTCAGGTTTCCCCAAAACGGCCCCACAAGCCAGGCTCACACACTGGGGAAAGTAAGGAAACGGAACAGCAACGGGAAGCGTCGCTTTCTTTCTTACCCCCTCCCCAAAGCCAAGACGACCCCGCGGTCCCAGTGAACCCCACCATCGTATGGGGTCTGGGGGGACAGCCTCGGACCCCTAAATCTCTCCATCCCGTGCCTCAGTTTCCCCAAAACGGCCCCACAAGCCAACTCACTCCCCGGGAAAAGTAAGGAAGGAACGGGAAGCGTTGCTTTCTTTCTTTCCGTCTCCCCAAAGGGAAGACGACCCCAGGGTCCCAGCGGACCCCACCCTGCTCACCATGGGGTCTGGGAGTCCCCCAATTTGTCCAGCCTGTGCCTCAGTTTCCCCAGAACGCCCCCACAAGCCAGCTCACACCCTGGGAAAGTAAGGAAGGAACAGCAACGGGAAGCGTCGCTTTCTTTCTTTCCCTCTCCCCAAAGCGAAGGCGACCCCGCGGTCCCAGTGAACCCCACCATCGTCAGTATGGGGTCTGGGGGGACAGCCTCGGACCCCTAAATCTCTCCATCCCGTGCCTCAGTCTCCCTAGAACGCCCCCACAAGCCAGCTCACACCGGGGGAAAGTAAGGAAGGAACAGCAACGGGAAGCATCGCTTTCTTTCTTTCCCTCCCCAAAGCGAAGACGATCCCGGGGTCTCAGTGGATCCCACCATGGTCACTATGGGGTCTGGGACTCCCCCAATCTGTCCAGCCCGTGCCTCAGTTTCCCCTAAACGCCCCATAGGCCAGCTCACATCCCGGGAAAACGAAGGAAGGAACAGAACAGCAACGGGAAGCGTTGCTTTTTTTCTTTCCCCCTCCCCAAAGTGGACATGATCCCGAGGTCCCAGTGAACCCCACCATCCTCAGTATGGGGTCTGAGACTCCCCCAATCTCTCCAGCCCGTGACTCAGTTTCCCCAAAACGCCCCACAAGCCAGCTCACAACCCGGGGAGATAGCGCAGGAACAGCAGCGGGAAGCGTCGCTTTCTTTCTTTCTCCCCTCCCCCAAACGAAGGACCCGGGGGTCCGTGAACCCCACCATCCTCACTATGGGCCGTCTGGGGAGACAGCCCTCGACCCCTAAACTCTGCAGCCGTGCCTCAGTTCCCAAACGCCCCACAGAGCCAGCTCAACCCCGGGAAAAGTAAGGAAGGAAACAGCAACGGAAACGTATGCTTTCTTCATTCCCTCTCCCAAAGCCAGACGACCCCGCGTCCATAACCCGACTATCCTCAGTATGGGCGACTAGGGACAGCCTCCGACCCCAAATCTCTGCAGCTCGCCTCAGGTATCCCAACAACTCCCCCACAAGCCAGCTCGACCCGGAAAGAAGAGAACAGCAACAGCAACGGAAGCGTGCTTCTTTCTTTCTCCTCCCCAACGCAAAGATGATCCCGGTCCAGATGAACCCCAGCAATCCAGTATGCGGTCGGGACAGCCTTAGACCCCCAAACTCTGAAGTCGTGACTCATTCCCCCAAACGCCCCACAAGCCAGCTCACATCCCGGGGAAAGTAAGGAAGGAACAGAACAGCAACGCGGAACGTCGCTTCTTTCTTTCCCTCCCCAAAGAAGGCGACCGGCGCGGCGTCCCAGGAACCCACCATCGTCAGTATGGCGTCCTGGGGGACAGCGTCAGACCCCTAAATTCTCTCCGCCCGTTGCCTTCAGTTCCCCCAAAACCCAGTAAGCCAGCTCCACCAACCCGGGAAAGTAAGGAAGGAACAGAACAGCAACGGGAAGGCGTTCTTTCTTTCTTTCCCCTCCCCAAAGCGAGGACCACCCGGTCCCAGAACCCCACATCCCTCACTATGCTCTAGGGAGACAGCCTCCGACCCCTAAACCCGCAGCCCGTGCCTCAGTTTCCCAATACGGCCCCACACGCCAGCTCACATCGCGGAAAAGTAAGGAAGGAACAGAACAGCAACGGGGAACCAGCGTCGCTTTCTTTCTTTCCCTCCCAAAGCGAAGGCGAGCCACGCGGTCCAGTGAACCCACCACCTCTACATGGCTTGGGGACAGCCTCAAGACCTCTAAATCTCTGCAGCCCGTGCCTCAGTTTCCCCAAAACGGCCCCACAAGCCAGCTCACAGCCCGGGGAAAGTAAGGAAGGAACGCAGACGGAAGCGTTGCTTTCTTCTTTCCCCTCCCCCAAAGCGAAGGCGACCCCGCGGTCCCAAGTGAACCACCATCCTCACTATGGCGTCTGGGGGACAGCCTCAGACCTCTAAATCTCTGCAGCCGTGCCTCAGTTTCCCAAAACGCCCACACAACAGCTCACAGCCCGGAAAGTAAGGAAGGAACAGCAAAACGGAAGCTTGCTTCCTTCTTTCCCCCCTCCCCAAAGCCAAGGCGACCCGCGCGTCCCGGGGAAGGGGAAGGGGGTGGCGGGGGACCCAAGTGCTCTCACGTCGCGGGCCGTAACGACCAGCCCCGCCCGGCTGTGTCGCGCGGCGCGTAGTACGGGTCCCGGGGCGTCCAGGTGGCTGAAGAACACGTCCACGTCGTCCGGGGCCAGCAGGGGCGACGGGTCCACGTAGTTGGGCGCGAGGCCCCGCCGGTGTGAGCTCAGGGTGAGACCGCGTGAGGCCGCGAGAGCGCGGCGGCGCGTGCTCATCCAGCGAGCTGCTCAGGAGCACTCCATGGCCCTGACGCCGGGGGTTCACATCTGTCACTCCCGCGGGGGGTGGGGTGCTGGAATCCGGTCGTGAGGCTGGACGGCCCGGACGAGGCCCTGGCGTGAAGTGAGCCACAAACAACCCGCTCATTAGACACCCTCCCCCCAAAAAAATTCCCCACGCAAAACGCATTCCGAGAACTGATTATTTTGGGGGCAGAAAAAAAAGAAAAAAAAAATTTGGGGACTTCTGTCGCTTTTTTTGACGGGGGGAGACCCCAAAGCCAAGCGACATTGACCAGAGAGGACCTTGGCCTCTACCTCTCCTCCCCAAGCCGCGCCCCTTTTTCCTGGCCCTGAGCCCGAGCAGAGACACCGCCAACAAAAGCTCAAAAAAAAAAAACGGGTGTCTGTCCCAAGCCGTCCCAACTTACGCGAGCGTCGGATTTTGCGGGACCAAAAAAAAAACAAAAAAGAACGAAAAGAGTTGGAACCCAAAGTGGCCCGCAAGCGAGAGGCTGATGGTGAGGGCTGGTGTCGAGGCGGTCAGGGCGCAGGGGGGAGGGGCCAGCGAGAGCGTCGCGCCCGGTGGCGTCTGTCCGCCGGCCACCTGGCGCACCGCCGGCTCCAGCCAGGACATGAAGCGGAGGCCGCCGCCGCGGAGGCCGCGGACGCCTAAGAAGCCCGCGCCAGCAACATCAGCGCGGCCTCCGCCCTGATTTGGCTCGCGCGTCGCGGAGGCCGCTGGGGACCAACCCTGCGCCCCCTCCGCGACCCCAGTGTCGCCGCGGCGCCACCTCCGACCCGATCCGGCCTCTACCCTGCCTCCCCTTTGCCAAAAAAAAAAAAACTCAACAGCCTCCACTTTTCCCAGCCTCGAAGCCACGTCCCCTCCCCATTGCTCTCCAGGACTGTCCCTCCCCCCCCCGTTGGAGGGTGGCCAGGCCACTGTCGCAGGCCAGGGGGGTGTCCCCACCCCCGGAGGCCAATCTTGGAGGCCGCAGAGACTTGGGAGGGAGTGGAGGCTGGGAAGGGTGACCGTTGGAGGCCCCGGGGCGGTGGGGACGGCCCGGAGGAAGGGACAGGACGTCCTTGTCCCCACATCGGCGTGGCCTCTCCGCGGGCCCGGGGGCTCCGAGGCCGGGGCGAGGCCCGGTGAGACCCGCGCGCGGCCGGAGCGGGTGGAGGCCCGCCTGGGAGGTGGGGAGTGGGGGAGGGGGGAGGGAGGAAGGAGGAGGAGGAGGAGGAGGGGACAACTTCTTGTCCCTTATTAAGTCACCTGGGAGGGCGACTGATCCGTGTCCTTTGTACAGAACCGCGGGAGAAAACGGAGGCTCAAACGGAGGCCGGCGGGGGTCGAGGCTGGACGGTGTGGGGTGGGGGAGGCAGTTCTGCCACGAGGACAATTTTTTTTGGGGGTGGGAGTGTGACTTAAGACAGGTGCGGAGTCCTTGAGGAAGGGTCCCCAACGCCACCAGCCTTTAGCCTCGAATCCCTGGCGGCAGGGTAGAGGCCCAAAGAGGAGGCCCAGGTAGGTTTGGGGCTAAATACGGGGGAGGGGGGAGGGAAGAGGGGGGCATGTTGGGGGTCCCGGGCGCCCCCCCGAGAGAGTGGGGGAGGGGACGTCCTCGCTAATTGGGTGACTGCAGGTCCCCCCCACCCCCGGGCTGGCCCCGCGGCCACCGCGACGCCTGGCCTCCCTGACGTCACCCGGTTCGCCAGGAAATGAATTTTTTTAATAATCCGAGCAGAACAGGGAGGAAAAGGCCTCCGTGCCCCTCTGTCTCCTCCCGGGGAGACGGGGGAGGGGGGTGTGACGCGGTGACACCCGCGCGACCCCCGGGACCCCCGTCCCAAAGTGTCACCTCCCGTCTCCCGAGAGAGAGAGAGAGAGGGGCCAGCGAGCGCTCAAAAGGCATCAAACAGCGGCGGCCTCCTTTTTCAGCCTCCTCCGGGAGTGGAGGCTTGAGGGCGCGCGCAGGTAAAGCGAGGGGGGCCTGGTTTTTGGGGGGACGCTTGGGGACCCTCCTGTCTGCTCGCGACACTAACGGGGGGGCCTCACCGGGGAACCCCCCCCACCACCTCCTCTCCGCCATCCCGGAGGTCCTCGGGCCTCTACCCCGCGGGAGAAGAGGCTGCCGGAGGTTCACTGGGCTGGGGGTGACAAGAGGAGGGCCACCAGGCCTCCGCGGGTCACCTCCCCGCAGAATCGCGCGCGCCCCGATGTCCCTTGCGCTCCCCGTTGTCTCTCCGCAACTTCCCCACCTTTAGCGTCCGATTCTTGTGCCGCGCGCGCAAATTCCTGACGTCTCCCGGCTGTGTGTTTTGGAGTCTCCTGTTTTTCGGGGCCTCTCCCGAAGCCACCGCAGCGCGGCTCGGGGACAAGGACAGGACCGGGCCCCCGCCGCTGGAGCGCGGACGCCCGGGTGACCCGGACGCGGGGAGGAAGATCGGGACGCCTGGAGGCCACAGCGGAACCTCCCGGGCCTCCTCCGCTGAGTCGCGCTGGAGGTCGCAGGTAAATGCTCCGTTGTGGTTTTTTTGTCCCCAAAGACTCGGGCGCGACGACAATCCAGCTCCGCGCCCAGCGTCCCGGTTTAGCGCGCGCCCCGTTTTTTTTTTTTCTGGGTGCGTTTTTTTTTTTTGCTGGGTGCGTTTTCTTTTTTGCAGTCAGTCGGAGCCTCGCCCTCCTCGGGGACTGGAGTCGGGGAGTGGGGGTGACCGGCCAGCCCCGGCCCGGGTCCCCTCCCCCCGTCGCCCGAGTCTCAGCCTTTCTTGGCGCAGAGAGCGAGATTTAATCACTGCGCTCGGCCGCTCGGAAAATGACTCAGTTAAACAGTGCTCGAGCCGGGGGTCTCAGTGGACCCCAAGCCAGATTTCCGGCCGGCAACTCCTGACGGGCGTGGAAGATAAAAGGAAGCGACAGGGGACGTCTGGGAGGTCCCCCTTGACCCAAACTCTGCAAACAAGGCGGCCCCCGGGCTGCGGCGTAGTCCCCCCTTGCGTCCGACGCGGGACCTTTTCCTCCCCCCCGCGCGCTCCGGCACGAACGAACGAACCCGCTTGCGACAGAAAAACGCGGCCCCGGTGACCCGTAGACGCGGGCCACGCGCGCGCGCGCGTTCGCTCGTCCAGGGGGGACGGGGAGCCCCGAGCCTCGACCCCCAAACCGACCTCCGCGGGAGGCAGGCGACGGCCAAGAGCAGTCGTCCGTCCCTCCGTCCCCACTCCCCAGAATCAGCTGCAGCGCTTGGTGACAACGCGTTTTAAATTGCAGTCTCTGGCCTCCGATTTTTTGGGGGGTGGGGGGACCCCCAAAACCGCTTCAGAGAGAGAGACACACAGACACGCGTTCCTTTTTTGCGTTATTTTTTATTCGTTCCCGAGCGAATAAAAACGCTCGGCGTTGGATAAAAACGCTCGGCGTCAGATAAAAACGCTCTTCGTTAGATAAAAACGCCCGTCGTTGGAGAAAAACGCTGCGCGTCTGATTGTTTATCAACTAAGCAGCGGTCACTTTGGTGACTTGGGGACGACGCGACATTTCTTGGGGGACTTGGGGGAAACTGAGAATTTTCGAACGGGTCCCTTTTTGCAAGTGACCGAAGGAGCCCCGCAATGTCGGCGTGCTACCCGGGTGGCCCCTGGCTGGTTCGGCCTGGGAGTTTGGGGGCGCACCGGGTCACCCCTGTCGTCTGTCTGTCCCCTCCGTTTTATGGTGTCGCCGCTACCTCTCCACAAAAAAAAACAACAACAACAACAACAAAATGAGGTCGAAGGCCGGAGCTTGGCCCCTTTGTTTAAACTTAGTTCAACCGGAAGGTTGTCGCTTTTGGATCCGAATTCTTCTGACCTTTTTTTCCTGTGGCCTGGCCGCGCGTGGGGGTGGCGGGGTTGGGGACATCTTAGGCGACACTTTCCACGGAGATATTTAATTCCCCGAACTGAGCCGGCCTCCCAGCCTCAAACTTGCCAATGTCCCCCTTGCTTGGGGACTGGGGCGAAGGAAAATCGCGACGCAGCTTAGCCAAAAGGTCACAGGCAAAGCCATGGCTCCAACGACAGGGACGGGGGACTTGTCCCCAAGACTGGGGTGGCGCAAATCATAAGGTCTCCCCTTTCCACTCTGGCCTCCCTTTTCGGCCTCCACTCCCCCCGGTTGCTTCGTGCGTGCGTGTGTTCTGGATTTTTTTTTTGGGGGGGGGAGGAATGACAGAGAGTGGGGTCCCAAGACGTGTCGTCCTGGGGAAATGGCAGAGACTGGGGACCCAAAACGGGTGTCGCCTGGCGTGTCCCGACGCCAGGCTGCCTCTGGTTCTGCTTCTGGCCTCCACAGGGTCTTCTCATCAAGCCTCCCTCCTCGGCGACCCTGCCACTGCGACCTCCACCCCCTCCGAAAAGCCATCGATCCCTCTCGACACCCGGCCGCCACCGTGGAACCCAGAGACGCGCGACAAGTTGTAAATAAACCCGTTTTTTTCTTTCGTCGTTAGAAAAAAACGCAATTCGTTTGCAATTTGTCAACCCGCCTGGGGGGAAAAAAAAACGCTCTCTACCGGGCCTACCTGGTTTTCTCTCCGCAAATCCTGGCTCACGGGGCCCGCGTAGACGCGGACGTTCCCGAATCCCGGGTTGGTGAGGGGGCAGAGGGGGGGAACGAAGGCGTTTTTTTTTTGTTTTTTTGCGGGTTTTTTGTTGTTGTTGTTATTTTGCGTTTTTTGGTTGTTTTTTTTTTTTTGCTTTTTTCCAAAACAACGAATTTCCTTCCTCGTTTTCCGGTCAAGGAGAGGTGAGGACGGCCACACCCCAAGCAAAGGGGGCCCTGAGCGCCGAGCCTTTTCCCCTCTCCTTCTCTGTCTCGTTGTGAGTTCGAGGCTGGCCACCGCGCAATGAAAGATTCCAAACGGCCCGGGTTTGATTGAACACGGATCCGGGCGCTGTTGTCCGCGTCTACGCGGGGAACCGAGAGGCTGCAGCCTCCCCATTCTTATGGAAATGCCACTAAACGGATTGTGACTCGAGTTTGGGGGCCGCTGGGGGATGCAAGGGGGGAAACTTCCCCGGGGTGTGGGCTGGGTATGTGGGGCGTTTTGGGGAAACTGAGTCACGGACTGGAGAGATTTAGGGGTCTGAGGCTGTCCCCCAGACCCATACTGAGGATGCTGGAGTTCACTGGGAACCCGGGATCATCTTTGCGTTGGGGAGGGAGAAAGAAGAGGCAGCTTGCCCGTTGCTGTTCTGTTCCTTCTTACTTTTCCCGGGGGGGTGTGAGCTGGCTTGTGGGGGCGTTTTGGGGAAACTGAGGCACGGGCTGCAGAGATTTACGGGTCCGGGGCTGTCCCCTAGACGCCATAGTGAGGATGGTGGGGTTCACTGGGACCCCGGGGTCGCCTTCCGCTTTGGGGAGGGGGATAAGAAGAAAGCGAGCGCTTGCCCTCTGCTGTTCCACGCTATCTCCCTGGGTGTGAGCTGGCTTGTGGGGCGTTTTGGGGAACTGATCACGGGCTGGACAGATTGGGGGGAGTCCCAGACCCCATACTGAGGGATGGTGGGGTTCACTGGGACCTCGGGATCATGGTCCACTTTGGGGAGGGGGAAAGAAAAAAGCAACGCTTCCCCGTTGGCTGTTCCTGTTCCTTCCTTCGCTTATTCGCGGGATGTGAGCTGGCCTAGTGCGGCGTTTACGGGGAAACTGAGGCAGGGCGGACAGATTGGGGGGATCCCAGACGCCCCATATGACCATGGGTGGGATCCACTGAGACCCCGGGATCGTCTTCCTTTGGGGAGGGAAAGAAGAAGCGATGCTTCCGTTGCTGTTCC